AATATATAGCATATTATAAAATAGTAAGATGATATAAAAATAAAGAAAAAATCTATAAAATCATCATAAACTTTATGCCTTTTTGTAATTAGGTATTATGAACTAATTTTTCTTCCTAATTACTCTTTAAACTTTAATTATTAGTACAATTGATCTCTGCATAAAGATAATATTAAATTAAAAGCAATGAAAAATTATAACTCATTCATTTTTTAATCTTGTTTTTGTTTTATTTTATTTTTTAATATATAATAATATTATTGCATTAACCACTTTTTATTCGATAATTATTTTTAATCTCAATTCATTTTATATTTTGATAGCAATTTCCTATATATATCATCTTTGACTAACTTGCATTGTTGTATTGCTACTGAGTTCAATTGCAACAATTTCATTGTTATCTATAAGTAATTTACACCAACAGTAAGTGGAAAAAGCCTAATCCACATCTTCGCCACAAATTCTTGGAAAATCCAATGATTTAGATGTACTCACCAATTCAAATCATTAGATTTTTCAAGAATATATAACTATGATGTGAAGTAGGTTTTTTATAGTTATTCTTGGAGTAAATATATTCTCTCCCTACATTTATACATAGTCAATTTAACAATATATTTATGACACCTACTTGCAAAAGTCATATACTTTAGTAGAGATTCCCCTATTAAATATAAAATAATTGAGAACTTATTATACTATTAAATCATAATAATTAATAATAACAACTATTGAATTTTATACTTCTAATGGAAAAATTTATAAATAGTATATTTAATTAATAAATATATAGTGTATTTAATTAATATCATTCCATTGGATCTTGTTTTAAATAAAAGAATGTTATATTTTGGCTAAAAAAATTCGTAATAATAAGTAAATAAAGTATAGCACAACAAGTAAATTTAATTAGGATATTAAAAATATAAGATATAAAAATATATCCGATCAAATAAAGATTTGTGTGGAGACTATGTACGTTGAAACAACACATTAAACATGTAATTTTAATTAAAATTTTGTTATTAATGATAGTATAAAAAAACATAAATAAACTTATATGCAAATATAACGTGTTGCATTGTGTGTATACAAAATTTTCTCACTTATTAATTAGTATCACAAACGTTCTATTTCATTAAGCTTGATTGCATTCTTTTTTATGATTACAATGACAATTTTAGAGTATGATACTGTCTTTATATTTAGCTACAATAACCTACCAAAATATATATTTAGATACAATATACTCATTTTAATTTGACATGTCAAATACTAAAATAAGAAACCACAATTACGCATCACACAGTATGTTTAATGCATCATTTGGAGTGTTATAGTCTTGTAGATAGAATAATAATATTTAAAAAATAAGACAGGCATGAAAATTGAAGTGAAGCTATCATGGAGGAATGTATTTACGCACGTGCAAAATAGGAAAAGTGATAAACAACTCAAAAGTGGGCAACGGGCAGTCGGGCAGCGATGGCAAGGTCCCACGTTTTCCAAGTTTTTAACCTTTTTTATGATAAGAAAACGTTTATCATGGGAGGGATATTGGCCCATAACAAATTACTATATCAATGTTATACGGTTAATAAATTTAATTAATCTAACTAAACATAAGGGTAAAGTTTTGATCATATAGATCTCATATATCAAATTTTATAAAAATTCAATTTTGTTTAATAATTTATTTATATATATTAAGATTAACCCAATATTTTTTTTGGAATATATGATATTTAAAACTAGTTGATTATGAGTTTATATTTAGAATGTAATATTTATGTATTGTCATAATATTTATTTATATATATTAAGATTAACACGATATTTGCTCTTGATAACTAAACCGAACTAAAATTTAACGTTAAGATTAAAAACTAAAAATATCATTCTTATTTAATAAATACGTAACTTTCAATGCTAGCCTTACATTTTTAAAGTATTTAACAAGCACGCTTTTAATTTCTTATAAATGAAAGATAAAAGATACCATAAAAACAAATAAAAAATCCAAGATAAAATATACACTTAAAAAAAGTCTATAGATAAAGATTTTCTTTTTATAGATAAAAATAATTAAAAAATCCAAGATATACACTTAACAAAATGCCTCTAGATAACGACTTTCTTTTTGATAAAAAGTAGATATAGATAGATAGCAAATAAAAAAAAAATCCAATATAAAGATATACACTTAAGAAAATGTCTATGTATAGAGATTTCTTTTTGATAAAAAATAAATAAAAAATCCAATATAAAGATATACACTTAAGAAAATATGTATAGATAGATTTTCTGTTTGATTGATCCTCACATCCTCTCTCTTTCATTCCATAGCCATCTCTTCCACTCATATAAATACTCCCTTCACTCCCTTCTCCCAACTTCACTTTTCTCTCTCTACTTTAATGGCTGCTGTTCGTGACCGCCGCCACCTCAACCTCCGTCTCCCTCCTCCAGAACCTTCTGAACGCCGCCATCGTTTCCCTCTCCTCCTACCTCCCACTACCGTCACCAACACCATCTCTATCTCCACTTCCTCCACCGCCGACGCCATCGCCCCCAACGACATTGAAAAACTCGACGTTATCGGCCACGGCAACGGAGGTACTGTCTACAAGGTCCGCCACAAGCGCACCAACGCAATATACGCCCTCAAGGTCGTCCACCCCGATTCCAATCCTATCACGCGCCGCCAGATTCGCCGTGAGATGGACATCCTCCGTCAAACCGATTCCCCTCACGTTGTTCAATGCCATGGCTTATTCGAGAAACCCTCCGGCGATGTGTCCATCGTTATGGAGTACATGGACTTAGGCACGCTCGACACGCTCCTAAAAAATAACGGCACGTTTTCCGAACCCGAACTCGCTTCGGTGGCGCGTCAAGTTCTTAACGGCCTCAGTTACCTTCACGCGCATAAAATAATCCACCGTGATATAAAACCCTCGAATCTGTTAGTTAACAGCAACATGGAAGTTAAAATTGGTGATTTTGGTGTTAGTAAAATTATGCAAAGAACTTTGGACTCGTGTAATTCATACGTTGGCACGTGCGCGTATATGAGTCCGGAGCGGTTCGACCCGGAATCATATGGAGGGAATTATGATGGGTTTGCGGGTGATATATGGAGTTTGGGTTTGACCCTTTTTGAACTCTATGTGGGTTACTTCCCTCTCCTTCCTTCGGGTCAGAGACCCGATTGGGCTACCCTCATGTGTTCCATTTGTTTTGGTGATCCACCCTCGTTGCCCGACGGCGCAACCGCCGAGTTTCGGAGTTTTATTGAGTGTTGCTTGAAGAAGGAGTCTAGTGAAAGATGGACTGCCGCTCAATTATTGACCCACCCGTTTCTTAAGGGTTAACGGGTTGACCCGTCTTTTTGGCCGGTTGATAGTTTAGTATTTCGGGGTTATCTGAGTTGGTGATGTATATTATCCACCTGATTCCATTTTTTGTATTCAGAAATTCAGAATCATGTTATTTGTATATTCAATTCTCTTAATTAAAATATTAGAAGAATTTGTTGGGTTATTTTCATTTATTCAGGATTGTGCTCGTACGTACCAAGATCCATTCGTCATAGCCTTATGTTTTAATGAGACATAAGTATCTTGTATTTTAAGAAGCCATTTAAGCTGTATTATTTAACCAAAAAATTAAATTCTTTAAGCCAAGTATTGGCATCCACAATCAATTCGTCAATTCAATTATTCTACAAACAATGGGCAATTAATGAAATATAAGATGGAAGATCCAAAAACAGTAAAAATGTATTCAGTTTTCCTACTTGTGAACATATATATATAACTATTTATGAATAATGTACGTGCGAATTAGAATAATCTCAATTAATGTAAAAACAAGTGCATGTTTTTCTTTTGTTTTAATGGTAAAAATGCAATTTCGTTATAATCAAAGTAATAAATACGTCATTAAAAGTTGTATTTCTCATTGATTTTTTAAATACTTATCATTTCATTAATGGAGAGGTTACTAAATTGTTTGCGGTTATTATTGATTAATTGCCCAATTCTGAGAAGTGTGCTTAATACAAATGGCAATAAGAAAGAAGAAAAAGAATCTCCTAAGATATACCCTATAGCACTTTTTGAATTAGTTTATAGTTTTGTTTGTAGTTTGTAATATTCTATATAATTATTGTAGAGAAACTTTTTGTCATACATACATACATACAATTAGATAATAATCTGTATTTGCATGCAGACAAATGAATGGAAATAACAAGTGGGGCACGTGTGTAGGAATAGGGATAGATGAAGGTGGAGAGAAGGGGGTGTTAGTGGATGGCACTATCAGCCACAATGAGCAGCCAGAGAAAGAAGATTTATATGGATATAATACTATCATTCAGGAGAGATCCACTTATTCTAAGAGTAAAAATTTTAAACTTATTTCATATCTTAATAATCAATTATAGGAAAATCCAACGATTTATATTTATTAACTAATTCAAACCATTAGACTTCATTAGAATTGATAATTAAAATGTAAGTGGATCCCTCTCCATCATTACAAAACATTTTTGAACATTAAACCATATGTCAAAATCATAGCTCCCTTCAAATGCAATGCATGAACATGAACATATATATAATTAATTAGTTTCCACTAACAAGTAAACGTCACAAATCAAAATGAGGATAAGTCATCATCCCTTACCTCATCATTCTTGTTTTTATTTGGATACTTTGTTAATAGATGTATGTGCTATGTGGCCGAAGTTAAAATTTCAATAATTGATACCTTCCATAAATCATTGGTTGCTAAAGCTCATAATTCATATATGCTCCTTATTCTATATTACTATGCCACACATTCATTTGAATTAATTTATATAAGATGGGCACACAACTAAATGGCTAAACAATATACAAAATAAGGGACAACTTATTGACAAATATTTTTCTATTAAGTTTGAAGATGTACCTCTTTGGGATATGACTATGAGTTATTGACAAAAATCAGAGCTCAGTTGCACTTATAATTCATCTTTGAAGATGTAGTGATAGACCCAATCCATCACACAAAGCACAAGTATCCTCACAGCTCTTTCTTTTCGCAACAAAGGAATCGAACTGGGGTCTTTATCAGGGCAAAGTTATATTCTACCACCAGATCACTAGTGTTTGTTGTATTCAGAACATTATTAAGATCTTATAATTCTTCTTATTGTGTTTGGTTTGAACCCCAATATTTTGCACATTTTCTTGTCTTGTTTACACTAAAGTACTATAACCAAATCCAGATTGTGCTATGTGTATAAATAGTTCACTCAGATGTCATGTCTAGGCAAAATACATTGTCTTTTATTTCGTACTTTTCGCTTACAAATCCTATTGTAATAAGGAAGAAATGCAGAAACGGTAGTTGAGTAATGAATAAAATAGATTAAAGTATATAAAAGCAACTAAAAGTGAAATGTTGCAACAACAAAAAGATTTGGAAAATGATATATCTTCGAATGTGAAATATGTAAAGATACTAAGGTATGAATAATCCTCTTACTAATGATGGAAGCTTTCATTATCTACCAAAGATATGAATATGATGACTTACTTCTGCATGAAGTTTAGCTTCAATTCAGGCATGTTGAAGAGACAATAGCCAATGACCACAATGATGAAATCCACCAAACATTTTTTGTTATTACATTTTTATGTTTGTTTATTACTTTATTTTTGGTTACCTATTAAGAACCATGGCCTCAACTTGTGTTTACAAAATTGATTTTAATGAATTATATTTTAAACTTTTTTTAAAGGAAATTAAATAAACTAGGATTTAGTTAAAAAGTACCTTTTTTTTTTACAATAGTGTCAGGGAGGTTTTAACCAATGACTTTTGAACTCACACACCACTAACCCAATTAAAAGTGAAATTATTGTAGAAACTAATTTGGGTTTTACTCTATTGTTAAAATAATAACTTCTTTTTTTTAATAAAAAACGAGGTTCACAACCAACTTGTTTTAATAAAAATAGTAGAATTATGAAATTATGGGAATATTATCTCCATTTGTGTTAGAATCTGATTCTGCAGAAGAATTTGTAGAAGGAAAATAATCTCTACTACTGATGCTGCAATTATTATGTTGGAAGCTTCTTTGCTGATATATTTGCCCTAATCTAGTTATTTTTCGTTTTGGGCCTTTCTTGTATTTGGTCTTTGGGTAATTTAGTTATATTGGGCTTTTTAGTTTCCTATTAGTTAGTTTAGTTAGTAAGCTTTTATATATAGCCCCTTTTTCATTTTGTGGAATATCAATTAGAGAACCTAAAAGCAAGTTGGTAACTAAGTTTCTTTTCAAAAGGTTATACCTTATCTTCTTGTGGCCTTGTTGTTTTTCAATTCTGTTTTAATGGAATACCATGGTTTTCACAATTTGTTGCTGTTCATTATTCTTATCAATCATTATTTTTAAACCATGTTTATTTCAATATTTTAATATATAAATAAATCATTTAACAACTGAAATCTTGTGAATTGAACTCATATTCAATCCCATATCTTCCCTACATTCTTTACTATTAATTACACTTATATTATTAGACATATATCTAGATTGATTAAGAAATTGCATGTACAACATTTGTTAACAAGGTATTTTTTTGAGTAAGCCAATTCATATGGGATCATGCGGATCTACTCTTTTTCAAAGATTGTGTACTTTTAGGACAAGTTTAAGTTATTCAACATGTCAATTCATTCCATTATAGTATTCTACATTCGTTTGAAGTATATAATTGATGAGAATCTTAAATTAATAACCTTTTGCACAAAATGATATATGTTTTCGAGTATTGATTCACGAATGAAAAATTAATAGTTTGAGCATGATATAAAATTCAAATCACACCTTCAATTTAAATGCAAATGAAACATGGTGAACAAAAACGCCATTTTAGATTCGTGGCAAACTTTTATTGACTTGGAAATATTCAACTATAGAAATATAAAATTCCCCAGTCGAACACCAAATTTTGAACCGCATGTGGAAAGAAAACATTATCTATTTATCGTATTTGACCAAATTGTAAATACCAGCATTCATTTTCTTGCTCTCTCTTTTTTCAGTTCTTTTTTTTTCTTTTACAAATAGAGTATGCATGATTTCAAAAATCTTCATGTCCACAGCAACATGCCATGGACTACTTCAAATTGGGGATATAATTTTGCAAACAATTGACTAAAACTGAATTATTCAAAATTGAGAAGCCATGAAGTTGAAAGAACAAAATAGGAGAAAAATATCAAAACCAAAAGGTAGAAAATCTTAGTATAATATAGTATTTACAAGAAAGGAAAGGAGAGAATATAGCTAAATATTCTCTGAAAGAAAATAAACAGAACAAAACATAGCAGGGGAGGCACACAGGACCTCTCTCTAAAATCTGCACATATATTAACTGTAAATGAAAATCCTACCCCATAGCTGGAGCATATTCCTACTAACATTAGTACGATTTTAAATTGTGGTTGCAGATACAATCTTGATATTTATTTACCTAAAAGAAAGACTCTAACCAAACGGGATTCAATTACTATTGTAGACTATAATTTAATTAAAACCCTGACTACAAGTGATGGAGCGAAATTGGTCTGCCGGAAATTCCCAAACGTGACCGAGAAACCTGGCGGTTTAGCTCCCGGAAAACCGGTCTGATCTCAGGCTTCCTCGGCGACCAGTCGACCATTTTCTCAGATGATTCTTGCTTGATCTTCTGAACTTGACTATGAATTGGGACACCCTTTTGCGCAAAGTTATCAACTTTCACACTCTCTTTGTTCTCACCGTATTCCATTTTCAACTTAGAACACAATAACTAGTATATGTATATATGAGTATGTATATGTATATATATATACACACTTGGAGAAGAGAGAAGGTAGAAAAATATTGGAGGGAATTGAAGATTGGAACGTAAGGGAGAAGCGAAGAAAGAAGTTTGGTGGGGAGGGTTTAGCTTTTTGGGATCGTGGATAGTGTCTTTCACACATAATAAATAACATCACCACTATATTGTTGGAAAAATTTTTCATTGATAAAAATATAATTTTATTATAATTAAAGGAATATATGTATTATTGAAGATTGTATTTTTTATTTACTTTTAAAGTACTTCATATCCATATTAATGAAAATGATAGTAACTCATAATAATATATATTATGGTGACCAAATTAAAACACGTATTTTGTTACGTTTCTTTACCGTTGGATTTCCATGATTGGTGGATCACGTGGCAGGAGAAACTAATTATGTATTCCAACTCTTAATATTTTATTTCTCCTATTTTGTCATACCTATTGAAGGATATCATATTTTAAACATATTTGGTAAAAAATTAAATGGATATAGTTGGTTTTGATGCTTTCTTATGAAATTGCCATGTGTTGGATAATAATGAAGGATATGCATGAGTGATTGAGCAGTAAATATTGCCTTGAACATGAATCTTCAGGATATCACTTACGCAGCAAATGAATGTAGAGTGATAATGGTATTAGTTATATTATTAGGATTTTTGAAAATGAAATATGGCATGGTGATCCTTTAATTTGGGATTATTTTTTTAAAGAAAAAATAGTGCTGAATCCTGATTTGATCAAATGGGTAGATTTTAACTCAATAAATGATAATGATTCAATAATAAATACAATTCATTTTGAGAGTTGATACAATTCTTTTTAATAATAAAAATCCATGAAATATAAGATCATTCAAAATATACTTATAGATAAAATCAAAACTTGATACTGTATTCCATTCTTGTTTATTAATATGTTATACCTCAATGAAAAAAATATTTTACTAAGGGTCTGAGAGCAATAATTTGTAAATATTTTTTATTGATTTGAAATAAATTTATAATTAAATTATTAGCATGTATGAAAAGATGAGAGATTCATTGATTTCAAGATTAAGTTTTTTAAAATTACTCCACATTTTAGCCATCAAATTTAGGGAAATCCAATGATTTGAATTAGTTGGTAGATCTAAATCATTAGATTTCCCTAAAATTAATGATTAAAATATGTAGTAAATATACTAGTAATTAGCATATGAAGGTCACTTAAAATATATAATTAATGAATCATTAATGTGAAATCATCCAATAATATTTTCCTCACAAGAGAGCATAGGAGGTTCAACCAAATGCAAACGCCCTAAAACCTAATCCCATTATCCAAGCTTAGTAAGGAATTGATTTAAAATTGTATATTTAGTCTTCTTTATTGGTCAATATCACTCTTTATTTTGTCATTCATAAAAGAAATTTGATGATAGGTGGGAAATGCACCGAAAGTATTTTGTGAATGGCGGTTGACCAAATTTTTGAGGGTGAACATCCAGAAGTAGAGGGTCAATAATCAAAATAAGGAATAGCATTTTTGTTGTTGTTGAAAACATGTAGTAGAAGCACATTCCAAGAGTGAGTCAATAGGAATCAGGATACTCTTTACTAGAATTTCTTTACTTGTGTTTCGAGTCAATTATATTCTATCAAATAATATAAAAATGTTATTTTATTTTTCTTTTTAAGTATGTGATAATTTTCAATTTCATAAGGATACAATGAGACAGGAAAATGGGACACTTGATCCTCGTTGAGTCAATAGTCCCATCATGTTAATATTCAAAATTTCAATTTATTTCTTCGGCAACTGAAAGACCATGGACCATGAAGTCAAAAATTGAGGAATCTTGGTGGAAGGGTATTTCAGTAAATTGAGAATGATGAGATGTGAAACGTCACCGTTGAATCATGGGCGGTTAAGTTCGTTAGCTCAGGGGCTTGGTCGTTGACTCGTTGTTAGATATTTATGATTTAGGTTACTTTTTTTTTGTGGAAAAGGATCTTTAGAGCAATTTTATTTTTGAAATGAATAAGAGTTCACATCTACCAAATCTAAATGAGCAAATTATTGGATTAATTTATATGCATTTAAAAGTATAGCAAACTACCTTAGATGAGTGCTATTTATTTTCACTAAATTTTAATGAAACAATTTGTAGAAATATAGATAACTCTACTCCTGCCATTAAC